GTTGCCGCCGCACAGAAAGCGCTGACAGAAAAGGAGCATGAGTTGGTCGAAAGTAAACAGCGCGAGGCGGCAAGCACCGCTGAGTGCAGCATGGCTCAGGAGCTCGCGCGCGAGAGCACCGAGGCGCTAAAGGAGGAGAAGGCTAAGAGAGCAGAGGCAGAGCGGTCGCAGCAAGAGGCAGAGCGGAGGAAGCAAGAGGCTGAACGAGACAAGGCGAAGGCGGAGGCGGTGGGCGTAGATGATGGGTGCTTCCTCGCTGCCGCTGTTTTTTTCGCCAGCAGCAAGAGGAGCACTGCTTCCTCCAGCAGGAGGAGTCCGCGCGGTCCCACCGCCCGGCGGCTGTTCGAGTGAGCCACCAGGCATGTTTGCTAGGTTGCGGACGGCGCTAGGGTGCCGCTAGGGTGCCGTGTGCAACCTCCACGGCACGGCGGAACGCGTTCACACACGCTTCGCGCTCGCGGGGCGTCAGGTGTTTTTTGGTTCTGGCGGGGTTCTTCGGAGCGTTCGATGTGATTTTATTGGCTCGAGCGATTTTCCATCTGGAAGATCCAGGACACTTCGAATTTTTTTCCTATAGGAAATTTGACCGATGGGCACCCCTAACTGTATTGAGTACAAATTTTGGCGCCCAGGTTCGTTCCAAATTTTCAAGGGCGGGTTCTGTAGGGTACGGGTAATCTCTGTAGGGTACAGGGGGTATCACAGAACCATCCTTGATATTCTGTAGGGTACGGGTGGTGATACAGAACGCACAGAATAATCCTGTAGGGTACGGGGATGATACAGAACTTTCTGTGCAGATAGGGTATTGTGAATGGACGTCACAGAACTTTCTGTAGGGAACGGGGGATGATACAAACTACACAGAACTATTTTGTAGGGTACGGGGATGATACAGAACGCACAGAATAATCCTGTAGGGTACGGGGAGTGATTTATTAGCATAGGTGTATGGGATTGCAATCCCCGTGCCCTCCTGTCACGAGCAACACGCGCACACCCAGCACCAGCTGGAGCACACAGTTATCACTTTCCACGCCCACGCACATACACACGCCAGACACACGCCACACCACACACACGCCACGCACACACCCCGGTGGTCTCCGAGTTCGACACAGCAGCATCCCGCAAATCACGATGGCGGTCGATTTCCCGAAGTCACAGAAGGCGCCCATGCTTCCCATCAATCGCCCGGAGGACTTCATGTTCGCCTTACGGAAGTTCTGCGGCACCTACGGCAACAAGACCATGACCCAGCCTGCCCTCAAGATGCTTCCGTCGATACCACTCGTCCACTCTGCTCTAGCAGTCAAGGAGGCAGACAAGATGTCTGCAGCACAGCGAAACCTGGCAGCGTCAAAGTGCATGCAAGAGATCGCGGTTCCTGGTTTCATCAAGCTGATCGAGCACGCCCTGAGCACCATGGAGGGGCCACCGCAGATGCCTCACAAGTGGAAGGTCATGGTGTACTACACGACCCTTGGTTCAGGTGTGTATCTAATGTGGCTACATCAATTCGTAACACGTACCAAAGACTCATGTTGTGTTGTGCTGGTCGTGTGATGGCATGCCCGATCATCATGTGGAATGTAGCCACTGGTTGCAACGGCTTTTTTAATTTTGAACTTATTGCAGACGTACTCATGGACACAGCAGTAGAGTAGGCATACCATGCGAGTGAAAGGACGCACTTGCGGGCCTTCTCTGTCCACCGAATGAGAAATACAGGTGTTGTGGGAGAGGTCGATTGGACCGGAGCTGGCATTTTGGCATGTACGACGCACATATATTATCTGAAGAGGAGTGTAGATAATTTTGATCCAAGCGGTTGCAGGTACCTGGTGCACCACGTGTGGTGTTCGCGAGTGGCAGTACCAGCGATCCACCTGCCACCTGCTATGTTGAGGATTATGGATAGGTCTACCCACCTTTTGCAACACGGGTTGGAGTCAGGGTTCGTTTTGCTGGCAACAGCGGTAGTATTCGCGAAACCGTTCACCTCCCTCCAACGGTGAGGGGTGCCAATCGGGGCGATTTTGGCGGCAAAAAAGTGACCGGTCAATTCGAGGATTTTGAGAAAAAAAAGGGGGGCACGNTGGAGTCAGGGTTCGTTTTGCTGGCAACAGCGGTAGTATTCGCGAAACCGTTCACCTCCCTCCAACGGTTAGGGGTGCCAATCGGGGCGATTTTGGCGGCAAAAAAGTGACCGGTCAATTCGAGGATTTTGAGAAAAAAAAGGGGGGCACGCGGACTTTTTGGTTCTCAAGTCAGCTCTTGAATCATATAGATCAAAGTATACTTTATCCTCCGTACTTTGTATAAGTAGCTCTGCGTTCAGGCAGCGACGTGGCTCTTCATACGTTGCACACATCTGGACACAAGTCCATTAGAGGACACTGCAAGCTCGGTTTATGCTTAAGTTTATATGGCGGATGAACAACCCAGAAAAACCTACAAACTTCAGCTGTATGGCCAATGCCCGAGGCCGCCTCTGACTTTCTTGAGAAAGCGAGCTTGCAGTGCACCACCTTGGGAGTTAGACCACACAACACAAAAGACCGAACTGGAATCGCTCAAGTCAACAGCGAGATCTACACGTCTGAAAATGGTCTTCCAAGCGGGTCTCCTGCAGCNTATCGCAGGCACCTCCAAGGCGAAGACCTTCATGGAGAAACCGTCGACCGTCCTGACCAAGTTCAAGAGCTACAAGGCCAAGTACACGAGAGTGTGGCTCTGGCTTGACACGTAAGTTTTGCGGGCAAGTCGGATTCTCAGCGCAGCTTATTTCCCTCTCTCGTGGCGTCGCACACTCCGAAAACCGGGAGGCGAAAGCAATGCAACCCTAATTTCGTGTGTGGAAAACAAAATCGACGGTGCTTGACGTGAGGATCTTCGTAAAATCACGAGGGTTCTACATGCCTGTGTTGGTCAAGCATGTGTGTGCGTGCGTGTGTTTGTCGTTGAGTAGTCTACACAAAACTGGAGGATGAAGACACCCACACACTTTCATTGGTCAGCCGGTTANGAAGACGCACACACACTTTCATTGGTCAGCCGGTTAGCGCGGTCGATGCCAAAAATTAAAATACAAACACACACATAGCGACAGAGACATGGACAAGGGAGGAGGGAGACACACCACCGGGAGAGCGAGACGGGAGGGTGTGCCCTGTACTACTGCTGTTGGCTATCGGTGGAGTAAGCGAGAGAGGAGAGAAGAAGCGTTTGGTTGTCGTGCGTCGTTGTTGTTGCGCGCTTTTTGCCAGCAGCGTTTTTTTTTTCGCATGAATCAGCGAGAGAGGCCCTTCTTGGAAGAGAGAGCCACACCAACACGCTACTAGACGCCACCATTGATTGTGCATGCACTGCTGTGCACCTCATTTTACTTTTGTGCGAGGGCCTTCTGCTGTGGAGTGTCACCTGTGCCTTCCCTGCTAGTCTGGTCACCTATCAAACGCGTGCCTTTNCCCTTCTTGGAAGAGAGAGCCACACCAACACGCTACTAGACGCCACCGTTGGACGTACATGCACTGCTGTGCACCTCTCTATACTTTTGTGCGAGGGCCTACTGCTGTGGTGTGTTACCTGTGCCTTCCCTGCTAGTCTGGTCACCTATCACACGCGTGCCTTCGAGTTGCCAATTCAAAAACAGGAAAGAAACGTTTAGATAAAGGGCACATATTTTTTTCTGCTAGATGATTGCCACCCCCCCAGGACTCGAAACGCACCAGCCTACTGCAGGTGTATAGCTTGTCCTTCCCACCCTCTAGTTTTGCCCTGCGCAAAATGAATGACATGACGTAGTTGGGCGTGCCTCGTCGTAAACAAAAAATAACGAAGCCGGGACAGCAGCAACACTAAAGGTTGAAAACTTGTTGCTACGCGTTGTCGAAAACACTGCTGTAAACTACGTAACCGCTCACCGCGAATCCGTTTTGTTCCCTGTGCGTTTTTTCTTTTGTGTCAGGAACGACAAGAACACACCGTCTGAGCTGCCGTCTGGGACCAACACTCAGGACTCCCTAGAGGAGCTCAACGACGCCATGTGGTTCGAGTCGGACATGTACAAGCGGGACAAGGCTAGATCGGACAAGGCAGGCGCTGAGGTTGCGGATTTCCTCTCTCGGGGGGCAGCGGGGAGCGTCGACGCCGCCGGCTCCCCAGCCGGCTCCCCCGTTACCGGGGCGGGCGCCGGGGAGAGCGTTGACAGAGCAGGGAGTCCACCTGCAGGTCAGGGACCGGCGGCGCAAGCGGCGTTGGCTGAGACGGAGGTCCGCCAGGAACCGGGAAGTA